TCCAGCAAGTGGAGACGGCAGGACCCTCACTTGTTCTCCAGGCCAGTTTAGTGGAAATGCTGAGTTGTCACTGAGTTCATATATATGTGCCAGCTGTATCCTGTCCTCTTGGCGTCTTCAGCTCAAGGTCTGAGCCGATTGAGGTCAGCGTGCTCATTGACCACAGTTCTTGCTCGAGGGCTAAAAGCCGAGTTCCTCCATTTGGATAGGTTCTGAGAATAACTTTTTTGCTCTCAATTCTTAGAATAATATCAGGGGATGTGGCATGTGACTAGATTATGTAGAGCGAACACAGATGGCTTATAATTGGGTAAGCAGCTAATTAGGATGTGTTGCTCAAGGAGGCACTATCCTTAGTGTTGAACAATCAATCATAAATGCTGATAAAAAGTGATGCCTAATATACTGTTCTTTAGCTGCATTCACTATTTGTTTCAAGACAGAACATAGAACCTTAGAAGCATAGAACGGTTTGGATTGGAAGGGACCTTTAAAGGTCATCTAGTCCACCCCCCTGCACTGCGCAGGGACATCTTCAACTGGATCAGGTTGCTCAGAGCCCCCTCCAACTTGACCTTGAATATTTCCATGGATGGGGCATCTACAACCTCTCTGGGCAACCTGTTCCAGTGTTTCACCACTCTCATCATAAAAAATTTCTTCCTTATATCTAGGAAATGAACTTCAGCCCAGCCCAGAATTTAAATATTGGGTTGTGCAGCTTTGTTGTATGGCATTTGATGACATTTTCAACACTTGAGGAATTTCAGCACAACTGACTCTTCATGTTTTTTCTTAAATATTTAGTTCAGAGAAGAACACTTAGTAAGGAAAGTTTTGTTTTTGTTTTTAACTGATATTGCTTTGACTTTGGTTCTTGTAAGCCAAAAGAAAACAATAGCAACAAACCCTGACCTTCTCCCCTTACTCTCTACCTTTGTTTGAGGACATTCAGACAACTTGTTCTGTTTTGTCTGGTGTGAAGGTCGATGCTGCTAGCATAAGGAATGGCAATGCATGCAAATTATCGTTGTGTTTTCTATTAGCTGTAATGGGCTAAAAGAAGTAATGATCTTCCAAGGCACATAAATTGGCCAATGTGTTGGATATATGTGTCAGCTTTGGACAAGGTATTCAACACAAAACCCAGTCAAGCTACCAGAGCATACTTAGATCAATGGGAGCTTCCTGTGGGGAATTGTTTGGAGCTGGAAAGCAGAGACTGCTTTCTTTTCTATTCCCAATGCAATTTTAAACCTATCTGAGAAGGTAAGTGCAAGAGATCATTAAATTCTTTCTCCTCTGCAGAGACAAATGCATTGTGTGGTGATAGGCACTGATACGAATCAGGGAGAGATTAAGCTCCCCTACTGACCCTATAAAGTATTGCTTTAGACCATGGACTTGGCTTAAAAAGTACAAGGATGAGTTTATTCAAGTGAATTGTGGAAGGACTGCCAATGTCTTCATAGCTGAGACAATCGCTACTTGGTCAGCAATTCTTTTTATGGTAACTTTTTTATTAGTTGGTGTATTAACACTAAGGCATCGTTTCCAATAGCTATGTGATATATGTACTTTTTTTAATGGAGCTGGCTTATTTTTACAAACTAGTTGATTTTCATTTTTTAAGGCCCAAAGTGATATTTGTACCAGTATATGGCACAGTAATAATTCCCATCATCAAAGACGGATGCCCAGGAAGAAATTGCTCTCTTCTCATCACTGTCCTCCTTCCAGTGACATTGCAGATACTTATAGACCTAAGCCCAAACTATTTAAATCTATCCCAGCAGATTTCAGTGGAAGTTAAAGTCTGAGTCGGTATGTTCAAATCTGCAGGTTGTGATTTTTTCCATGCACTTTTTTTTTTTTTTTGGAAGCAGGACATTTGTTAGTTTTCTGGTGCATTGTAGCCAAATCCACACTCTAACACAAGTATTTTAAGCAACTGTGAGCAGCATAGGGCTGTGTTGGATCAGCTCACACTTCTGTTGCTAGCAAGCATGGAGAGAAAGCATATAGAGGGGTTATATAAGTTGGGAAGGATTTTTGAACAAAATAATTAAAACACAAATATGGACATGGGAGCTCTTACAACATGCATGGGTTTCTGATGCAGTGGTCTGTCTTGCTAGCTTACAGACACTTTTAAATTTATAATTAAAATGAAGAAGATTCTACCTTTTGCTCTTCTTAATGCATTGATTTTTCCCCAAAGCTACACACTCTTCTGCAAGCTCCAGCACTGGTAGCCCTGCCGACACAGAGAGAAGAAGCTGTGAAAGCTCATCTGCTTCCCATTTGCACGGCAATTGACCATCAGCAAGAGTGCAAAATTCTTACCTAGAAACTTCAGGAATATTCATTAAGCTTCCTCTGAAATTCGTCGTCACATACTAGTACTTAAGGGGTAGCTATGAGGAAGATAGAGACCCCCTTTTTACAAGGAGTTACATGGAGAGGACAAGGGGGAATGGACACAAGTTGCTCTTGGGGAGATTCCGAATGGACATGAGAGGGAAATTTTTCACAATGAGAACAGTCAACCATTGGAATAATCTCCCCAGGGGAGTGGTTGACTCCCCCGCATTGGACACTTTTAAGGCTCAGCTGGACAGGGTGCTGGGCCATCTTGTCTAGACTGTGCTCTTACCTAGAAAGGTTGGACCAGAAGATCCTTGAGGTCCCTTCCAACCTATGATTCTATGATTCTACAATTTATCCAGGTGGATTGAAGCCTGTGCTGCTCACTAAGTTTAATCTTTTCACAAAATTGCCACCCTCATTTTGGGCTGAAGGAGTGGCACCGTCTTGCCACCTTAGGTAATGTGCATTGGTGGCATTGTGGCATGCCAGCCCCTGGCCTCGTTCACCGAAGTGCCGGAGGAGCTTCTCCTGCATTCATTGTGGCACAGAGAAGAGGCTACAGCTCAGAGAAATGATTGAATGACAAGATTAGTGAGTGCTGACTGAACAGGCCATCTTATGCAGTAAATCAGAAGAAGGGGCAGTCTGGAAACCAAAGAGCTGCTCCAGCTGGCTGGCTGGGGCACAGCATGGGCCTGAGGGCTGCAGGGCAGCCAGCAGGCTCAGGGCAACAGAGCAGGCATCAGTACTGGAGGAAGAAGAGGCAGTTTTTAGCAGTGAAGCAATGATTAGTCATTTATCGTAGCTTTTTTAAAAAATGCATACTTTAAGATATAAAGGAGAAGCAACATTCTGGCTAATGCAAAAGATTAGTTGCTTTT